TGCCCTACTGCGTGTTGACAAACTCAATTTATTCTTTACCGCCGAGTAGTCTATGTGGTAAATCAAATTTTAAAAGAGCTATTAACAATTGCGTTGGTTTTGGCGAGAGTCAAACTTTATTTTTTGCTTACTGTGCAGGCACTGATTTATAAGTTCTCTTGCGTTTTATATAATGTATCAATCGCGTCAATTAATCTCTTTTATTTTTAGAATTGATGTTAGCAGCGCCATCTCTCTTTAAATATATACATATAATAAAAATGATGATAAACTCTTTCTGTACATTGTATATATATATTGGTGGCTAAAATCATTATGGGGAACTGAAAATAATTAAATAAGAACATTTTATAATTTTTAGAATTGTCTGTCTGTCTATTTGTCTGTTATTATATGAACGCATCACGTCTAAAGTAAACATCTTTTATTTTCAAAGAAATCGTTAAGAAAATCATAAAGCGTATCTTCGAGTTACATTTAATCTTTGTTTTATTAAAATTGGTTAATTCTATCGAAAGTAATGATTACTATTTTGAAATATAGGTTCGAATTTGTTCAATGGCGCCATAAAATCTCAGAAATAGTAATAAAAAGAGTTGTGTGTAAAAAAAAACGTTCCATAATAATTAATATATTTATACTTAAAACACAAAAAGAGATTTAAAAAGGATGTTTTCTCACACAAAGGACGTAATAGATGGAGTTGTATAAATTACAAACTTTTCTGAATTGCTGTGTTGCAATTTTTCGCCGATGAATCGTATTGAGACTTACTGAAGAAATTTGTATCCATCGAAGCCATACAACGGAACCCGACCAAAAATAAAAATTTTGCAACGAAATGTCGTGATATTGTATTTATAATATACGCAAAATCAGTACTGCCATTTTAGCGCTTTGGGAACTAGATTTAGCGCTTTTTTGGAATGTATAGCGTGCATTTCGAAATTTTAGCACCTAGCTTAATCCAGCGCTTTTTGGTGTATTTAGCACACATTTCAATATTTTAGCGACTAGCGGGTTATTAACTCTTTTATAGCAGCACTGTTAGTCTACATTACCGATGATAATAATAATAATGACCTTTATTATTTTTTCCCACAAATAGTAGTTGCAGTTTATCTTTTTCAAACATATTTTTTCCACAAAACAAAGAGCATGGGAGACGAGTCCAAACTAGGATACCCTGTGCTATGGATCTCCTGGCTTCCCCTTTAGGATGATCAACTTGATTTTTTTACCGACGACTATAAGCGGGGAAATCCCCTTTATTAAAGTTTTCGTTCATGGTTTTGGCAACGCATTTATTTTGTTTTATTCAGTTTCAATCAGTTGCTTAGAGCACAGCTAAGTTAAAAGTTACTTAGAAGTTATAACACAAAGAAACTGTGTAGCAACCGCAATCAGATGCTGACATCTGAAACTAAGTTGCGAAATACATTGCACTTTAAAACAATTAATGACATTTTTATTGTTCGTACAGTACTAACTAATGTTGACAGCAATTGCCATAATTATAAGTCGATGTCCTGCGAAGTATTGATACATCAAAAAAATATTGCCAGAAACAAAACTTAATGTTGTTTTCTTTATTATGATTATAATATAAAAAAACACAAACTTTGTTTGTAGTTAATTTAGCGCGAAATCTAGGGCTTTTTTAAAGCGCTGTTTTAATGAAATCTAGCGCTTTTTGTGTTGTTCTAGAGCTGAATGAGTTTTTTTTATCTGGCAGCACTGCCCAAAAACCCTCTATTAAGAAGTAACTTTCCTTTCAGTTTTAAGCGCGTTCAGTTCCCAGTTACAGTGAGCGTGTGTTATGCGATGACCGTAAATAAAGCGCAAGATCAAACTTTACGCGTTGTAGGAGTGTACTTCAGTACTGACTATTTTGCACATGGCCAACTCTATGTTGCTTTTTCCCGTGTTAGTAGCCCCCGTAACCTTTTTGTGTACACCCCGGCTAAGCCTACTTCTAACGTCGTTTGCACAGAAGCTCTATCATAAACGACTTAGAACTTTGATGATAATGATTTATTTAGTAACCACTTATTGATACAGTAATGAAATAAATCGTTTAATATTCTCTTACCTAAACGACAAATTCTTTATGTAAAACCTGTATACGCGAGCTACGCCGCGGGCACAGCTAGTATATAATATATATTAAAATCAAATTAAAAAGTAGGATACTAAAATCATGTTTTTACTGTCTTTATTATTATTATTTTTTTAAAAACGTTACCCCCACACTGGGATCTTCTCCTGTGTCGTGGAGGCAGTTTACAAACATAAATTGCACAAGGACAAACATCCAGACGCGGAACAATTATTTGTAGGTCATACAAATACTTGTTCCGTGCGGGATTCGAACCCGCGGTCCCCAGCGCAACAACTGATTGCTAAGCCACTGCGCCACGGAGCCGTCAATATTCCCTATTAGTTACTTTATTTCGTTAATAATACTGTAATTTTTAGCTATGGAAGAGCGAAGTCACCTGTTACAGGCATTATTTTGCTTACTAGGTGACCTCGATCACTGATCATATAAGGTAACTTTAATGTTTGACGAAATAAATTATTAATTATTATTATTATTGTTAAGTTTTATTCTATAATTATTTAAAAAGGTTTTGTTTAATAAAATTTGACAACAGTTTCATAGACAGGCTTCGAATATTTTCCAGGCCTTAGTTGTAAAAGTGTTAATTATACCTATGCCTAGGTGTGTTAATGTTTATATAGTTCACTTATCTGTATAACGTTAGTGTATAATAAAGAAATATTAAAAATTTATATTAAAAATATTAAATATAAAACATAGTGAAAATTAAATAAAAAAATAGTGGTATGCTGTGAATAAATAAACCGCAGCAGCCGTTAGCGCATCAATAATCATTTTAATAAATTCGTCCGCACATTGGCCTGAACCGAAGCAAAATGAACGACCTTCCAACGTGTGGACGCGATCACAATTTCTTGGCCAATAACTCTGCCAACACATTCGCCACTGTGTTGGCCAACGTGAAGAGGCGCCATGAGGCGACAGAGGGAAACAAATCAGATGTTCAGCATTATCTTCCTAATAGCGACTAAAAATAAAAAAAACACTGATTTCTATCCAGCTTGCCAAGTGTGGCAACTATGGCAAATATGAGGCAATCTATGGGAGAGGCCTATGTTCAGCAGTCAGTAGACTTCAATAGGCTGTAACGATGCTTAAAATTACTAGGTATATTGTAAATCTACATTAACCGATTCGTTGCGGCTCCAATTTTCGACAACTTTTAGCTGTGGCGGCGAACAAATATTTCATGACACGTCGGGCGTGTCAAGCGCCACAGACATTTTTATGATTTTTTTACTTGTTTAGACCTAATTAAGTTTATTTGACATCAAACAAAAGTTACAAATGGAAGGATACTTGTTTTTAGTGAGTAACTACGTGTTTTTTACGCATTTTCTTTGAAATTGAGAGTAAGTGACTTTTTTCATGAAGAGATTACAAACCTTTTGTATTATTTTTTGTTTTATAAAAAAATCATTTATATAAGTAGGTACAGCTAAATCACCTTGGAAAACGTTGTTTTTACTAAATTAAATTTCACCTAATAAAAACATTTGTAAATATGAAACAATCAAGAACCTTAATTTGAAAAAAAAAGGTTTATGATTCATTGATATTTACAAATGTTAAATATTATTTAATGCTATACAAATGTAAAAGTAAGGTCGATCTAAAAACGTCTAATTAGTAAGAATAGCAAAACAAGTGTTTTCAAAATGAAAAAAAACGCCGGCGGATTGACAAAAGACTATTTATTAGCGAACTTTTTTATGCATGAACGGTTTCGAACTGTTTCAAGCAAAAATAAACCTTATACCATATCACAAGAGCACATGGTACTTCGTAGGTCTATTCGGCCATAATATTGTTGCGCGCCACTATTAATGTCTTATACATGGCAACACTAGTTACACTAGCGCCCTCTAGTGTCGAATAGCAGAACTAGGAGTCGAGATCCTTCCAGAAATTTCGGGGCCGATATGTACTCGAACATTCTAGATGTCGCTACAGTAGAAGTTTCTGGAAACTATCTGTGGCCCTATATAAGGCCGGTATAGACCACGACCGGGGCAGTATTGAATTGGCGATACAAGAGAATACTTCGAAGAGAAATAACGGCGAACTGTATTTTATTATTAGTGTGATTTTAGATTGTAATTAGTGTTGTGTAATTAAAGTGTCAATTTTGGTAATTCAATCGGCAGTTTTTAATTGTCTCGAACCCTAAGCTTGTAACAATATGATAGTAATAAGACGGCAGTTCAACCGTTTTAAGCAAAATTAAACAATAAGACAAACGCATTGTTTTTTTAACAGGAGACTTGTTTTCCAGAAATTTATTTACAACTTGAGTTTGTAAGTGATCGCAATGAGTGCTATTATTTGTTACTTATTAGACAATTTTTCCATAACATGATTTAAAACCCACAAAGTAAAAATAGTAATATGTACACGTTAAAAAAAGGTTGTCAACCCCTGAAAATTTCAAATTTTCAAAATATCCAGAAACGAAGCTGCATGGATGAACTACTCGCAAAATAATGAATATTTTGTTCTGGATAAATTTTCCAAAAAAGCAATTTAAGCAAGTTATAACGATTTTTAAAAAGACACGACTCGCGTGTCATACGCCACATACAAAAGTAATCGATGGCACGCCTGGCGTGTCACCCGCACTGAACCGGTTAAGAGACAATATGTTTTCCTAATACTAACACCAGTCTCATTTATACTTGTGACAGCAAATAAAATAAAGCAAACATCAAACGTAATTATTATTATTTACATTATTATTATTTAGTTTTATTATTATTAGTGTTTTGAAATTGAATTTCTTTGTATAATGACAATTACAATAGTAACTAAAACAAAACTTATAGTCTTTATGTATTTTCTTTACAAATGACAGCTATAGACTGCCATTTCACCGTTATCACCAAATAAATGGTGCTCTTTCTCTCAATATCTTCAAACCAAATTTGTTCCATTCACTCTGATTAATCCATAATTCTATTGCAGACTCTAAGCAGGACATAACTGCAGCTCCTTTCCACACTGTACTGGCTGGATCAATATCCTTAGGTGATGTAACTATTTCCAGCTGTTCAGTCTTGTATGTGTAAGGTATTTGAAGGGCTAAGCGGTTTTGCAACCATAAATTTAATCCATGAACTTTTACACCACCTCCGACAATTAAAATACTGCTATACATCTTTCTCTTTAACTCTTCGCTAGAACTTCTATCTATGCTCTGTAGTATGGCTGCGTCTAGGCCCAAAACCTGTCCAGGTGCTAATGATACTATGTCTCCGGGGCCCCCTTCTAATGTATCAACAACAATATCCTCATCAGCATTATTTGTTGGCTGTGCTTCATTTGCAGTTTCAAACTGTTGACTTTCATTTGCAGTTGGATCAGCAGTTTCTCGTTTCCTTCCAGTTTCTCTGAGAAACTCAGCATCAAAAGGATCTTCAGGATCGCTAGGTTGACGATTCTGAATTTTTGTTGTCTTTGGACCTGTGATTTTTAACAGATCTGTGTAAAATAATGAAAGTGGTGATATAATGCATTCATCACCTACTTGCAGTGTATATTTATTGATAATATCTCCTGGGTGATCTACCAAAAATGTTTTCTCTTGTGGGCCACATACATCAAGGTTCACATGACAAAAATTTTGATAAAGATTACGCATCAACATTACATCTCTTGGGATATTTTCATTCCAATTCTTATAAGGGAAGGCACTTTTATGGAACATCCAAGATAATGTCTGGCAGACATCCCCAGCTCCGTAGTCCATTCTCAACCTAGTTGCTTTATGTGAAATGCCATCTTCAACGCATGATATTGCAGTTTTTTGGTCTCCAATATCTACTACACATGCAGATCCTATGCCAGCACCAAATGTTGCCCCTACACTCTCCTGCACCAGAAAACAGTGACCAAATCCTAAATCTTTTAGTAATAATGACATCAAACACTTCAAGTGGCTTCTAGAGTAAATATCAGGTATTAGCAATACACACCTATACTTCACTAGCTCTATAAGTGGTATACCAAGTTTATATTCAATAATTGAACTCCATATTGTGTACAAATCGTTTAATACTGATGAGATAGAACCACCAATTTCAGAATGGATATTGAAGTCACCTCTTTTGTAAGGGAAATGTATGTTATATGCAAGTTCTGGATCTATATCTAATACTAAATCTCCAACAATAATGTCACACTCAACTTGTGGCCATGGTTCTCCATCACTAACGAATTCTGGCAAAGACCTTCTATTGAAAGCAGCAATTTGCTGTGGAGGAGTAGCATATCTTCGAGCTCCATTGGACTGCATACAGGACTGAAGAGTGTGTGATATTTGGAGGCGACACTCTTCTAATTCCTCGATTAGTTCTTTAGTTTTGGGTATACTTGGCGGCACGAACGGGTCTCGGTATATTTTCCCATCCGGACGTCGTTTTCTAGCAATACAGTGTAATTGTTTAACTGGAAGTAAGTCAGATGCTCTGCCTATTCTTACGTAGAGTGAGCCAGGGTGTATTACAATAATTCTATTTGGTGGAAACTGTTGAAATTGCTCTGGACCAGGGTCGTACGCCGGTACACTCATTTGTAGATGTTTATTACGCAGAGAATATATGTAAAAAAAAATTAACAGTAAAATTATATATAATGTAACTTCCTTAGCGTATTCTTCGTTGAGTAATTTTTAGTTTGTTTTAGTTTTTATAAAACTAAGTTTCGAATATTAAACATAAACATAACCTACAAGATACAAGATAATTGACTTCTTACCACAGAGTACTTTTTATATAGTTGTTGTTTTTATTATTCAGTATTCACTCGAGAGAGCAGGCAAAGGAACTATGCCATACAGCCTAGTCTTTTGTAATTATCCTTCATAGTTCACTGATTCACAATATGTTGATGCGTCACATTGTGCAGTTCTTGGGAGATTTTGACGGCAACTTGATCCAGCAGACAGCTGACAGTTGGCGATGGTATCTAAAGGCGCCTATGCAAACAAACAGCTTATCTTGAGAATCCATCACCATCAGAGCACTTGTTTCACTGTTTCCACTAATAGTTCACATGCGTAGACAATTAATACACAAAATCGCACCACTTTTACATATCAAAGTCCACTTCAAACCATTATTTAAACAATAATATAGGAACAGCAAACAGCCGCTGGTCAAGTTCCCGCCAAAACTCCGTACTTTTTATAAACTGGAACTTCTTACTTGTTCCTTGTTTGTAGTTTTTGTAGGTAGTTAAAGGCAAAAGCCTATACAGCCTTGTCTAACGTATATTGTTAACATTTTTTTAATTAATTTATATTACCGTCGAAGTAGTGCTTGTTACATAATTTCCTATAGATCACACACGCATATAATAGTATACAAAATCAGAAATTCTGATTTTGTATATTAACTATATTCTGGTCCAGAATATAGTTCCATTCTCGGGACACCTCCGATTTGGATTATTTTTTTTTACATGTTTACCAACATAAATGATGAAAAACCCCAAAGGGATTTTTGGCGCAATTGCCCCTGAAATTTTTTACGAGGGTTTGAAGTTTTAGATTTTTAAGGCAGTTTTTCACGATAAATCGACTAAACCTTACTTTTTTACACAGGAATATTGACTCAAAGTTACTTACTGCTACTTACTATTATAATATACTGTGTTTTATTTCTGAATAGTATTAGGGTTTTCATCATTTATGTTGGTAAACACGTAAAAAAAATTTAGTCGAAATCGGAGGTGTCCCTATAACGGATTTAGACAAAGGATATGTCTTTACAGGTGTATACATTTTTATATGAAAAAAAAAACTAAACAACATATATATAAACTCTAAACAAACACAAATCAAACTAATTGATCAAAAGCACCACATCCAGTAAAAAAAATGCAATAAATAATAGTTTAGAATCATTAATCGGGCAAGGTAGGTAATAGTAAGTCTTTATATTTTCTTTTGAATACACGTTCGGGGTCGCTAAAGATGTCGATGTCATGATTATTTAAGCTGTTATAAGTTCGCATACATCTATTTAACGGAGAAAACTTACCACGTTTACGTAACTTACTTACGTTCTACTGAAGGGAATATTTAATAAATTGGTAATTGGGTGTCTAGGGATATGATAGGGGATTTTAAGGTACACTTGCTGCAATAAACTTGGTGAATTTTTTTTTATAGGAGAGGGGCAAACGAGCATGCGGCTCACCTGATGGTAAGTGACTACCGCCACCCATGAACAACTGCAACACCAGGGAGGGAATTGCAGATGCGTTGCCGGCCTTTTAAAAAGGAATACGCTCTTTTCTTGGTGAAATTAACTTTCCGTGTAGAAGTTTATGTAGCGTCATTAGGTCTAAAAGTTTTCGTCGGTCTGCTAGTGAACTCATTCCGAGATGAGAAAGCCTAGATCTATAGTCAGTGTAGTATGGACAGTTTTGAAATTTATAAGCGATAAATCGAGTGAAGTTTTTTTGAATACACTCGATTCTGTCAATGTGTATTTTATAAGAAGGATTCCACATCACTGTGGCATATTCTAAACTGCTACGAATTAATGCATTGTAGATAGTTACCAGAGTCTGAGTATTTTTGAAGTCATTACATGCACGTTTAATAAAACCTAACATTTTCTATGAACGCGTTATCACGTTATCTATATGTTCTATAAAGCTAAGTTTGTTATCAAGAACTAGCCCAAGATCACGGGTGGATGAAGATTCACTCAATATGTCTTTATTAATGGAGTAACAAGAAGCAATAGTAGATTTATTCCTTGTGAATTTAATGTAGGTACACTTACGAGGATTAAGTTTCATTTTGTTACTTATGCACCATTCATAGATGGAATGAAGGTCATTTTGCAAAGATAAAACATCATCCTGATTTTAATATAATAATAATTAATAATAATTTAATAATATTATAATAATAATTTTTTGATTTCCAATACAATACTCATTTATAAAGGAAAATATTTCTGCTGCGTCGTTGTCAACTGTCAAAGCATAATAACTACATACAATTTTTATCAATATGGAATAAATCCAAGGAAGTAATGTGATAATATTTCATTTATTGAGTAAAGTGCTTTTATTTAGACCGTAAATGATTATGTTTCAGGGAAAGGTGCGGGGTACAGCACATTTCAAGTTAATAATAAGCTATCTAATATAAAGACTTTTGAGTGCTGTAGAGATCTGTTTAGAATTTTTTAATGAATATCTCTGATCGGCTACATTCACAGCCGGATTTCCTACAGTGTCAAAATTGTGCCGACGGTAGGCTATTTAAAGGTAAAAGGGGATTAAATATACATATTAAACGATGCCATAGTAAAAGTATTTCGGCTTCACAGCCTACCGTAGAAATTCATAACTCTATTAGCAATTCCTCTAATGACACAAATTTTTCCCTTTTTTCCGAGCAAATTTACAATTATCATCGTAATGTACCAGTGGTTAAAGAATTCCTAGAGGTGCGAGGATGCAGCTTGCTAAAGCATTGTCATGCACTATTCAAAATTGTTTCACTAATAGTGAAAATAGTTGGCAAAAATTATTTACTTTCGCGTATTCCCATTTTCATTTCGATAAAACAATAAATAAATCAATTACGTCTCAACTAAAAGAGACATCTTTTCAAAATTTAGATTAATTCAAAATTAATTAAATTCAAAATTAATTAATACTCATTTACCTTGACCACGTCCTAAATTTGATTTAAAAAAAGTAGTTGAGTCGAAAGTAATGGATGGCGACTTAAAAATTGCATCCCGTATTTTATTCTCAGACGACATCCTGGCTCCTCGTAATGTCGAAACTTTTGAATGCCTTCGTCAAAAGCATCCTACGATCAAACCTTCTCAGGGTTTACCGCTGCCTTCCAAGACTTCTATGCAACCATTATAAATTTCTGAAAAAGACACTTTAGAAACAATTATGTCATTTTCGAATGGCTGTGCTGGCGGCATTGACGGAATCACTACTCAATATATTAAAGATCTTGTAAGCGCTTCTGCCGGTGATGCCGACGGAGTACTTCTTAAAGACATTACAAAATTATGTAACTTTATGCTTTCTGGTAATGTTAATACAAATTTCATTCCATTCTTATATGGGGCAAGATATTGCCGTAGGTTCCATATTTCGACGCTGAACTTCAAAATTAGCTTGCAGGCACATAATCTCTAACTTTAAGACCAAATTTCAGCCTACTCAACTAGACTTTGGCACTAGAGGTGGCTTTGAGGCGGCGGTACATTCAGTGCGTACATTTTTAACAAACTCTGATGCAGACGTTCTTGTCAAGGTTGACCTAAGGAATGATTTTAACTCTATCGTTAGGGTAATCTTGCTGAAAGAAGTGGATAACAATACCCCCGAAATTTATCATTACGTTTGGCAATGTTATAGTCAAAATACTAACTTGTTTTACGAAAACCATGTTATCGATTCTGCTGTCGGTGTTCAGCAGGGTGACCCACTGGGTCCAGCACTATTCAGTTTGGGAATTAAATCCATTATTTCAAATTTGAAATCCAAGCTGAATGTCTGGACTGGAATATCTAGACGACGGTACATTGGGAGGTAGAGTAGATGACGTCCTCAGTGATCTTACTCATATTTTTCCAAATTTCAAAAATATTGGTCTTGAACCAAATAGGAATAAATGTGAAATATATTTTTCCAATAATTTATCTACTTCTGATAGAGACATTTTAATTCAAAATTTCAATCATATTTGTCCAGGAATAAAAACTGTCAGTACGGAATCACTATACCTGCTAGGTGCCCCGTTGTTTTTCGATAGTATTAAACCTGTTTTAAAAACAAAATTTGATCAGTAAAATAGCTCTTACTATTTTAAAATATTGTCTTCTTGTACATAGATTTACATACTTACTCCGCTTGAGTCCAGTCTGGAAATGTTCGGATATTTTAAAAGATATTGATAACAATCTAAAAATATGTATAGAAAAAATTCTAAATTTAACTTTAAATACAACAGCCTGGACTCAAGCTACTTTACTTATAAAATTTGGTGGCATTGGTGTAAGAAATCTTTCTAGCGTTGTATTGCCTGCTTTCCTTGCTTCCGTGCATAGTGTCAGTGACTTATGTAACATAATTTTAAAAAATAAAGTAGACCTATGCTTTGCTACAGAGGCAAAGCAGACATGGCGAACGCTCTGTCCTGGTGAAAATGTTCCACTGGAAGTTAACCAACAAAAACAGTGGGATATTCCATTGGTACAGGGCGTGCAGAAAGATTTGTTTCATAATTTCCATAATGACCAAGATAAGGCACGCCTTCTAGCTGTTTCGACTAAGGAATCTAGTCACTGGTTACACGCTTCACCATTAAGTAATCTCGGCACGTTACTTGATGGGGAAAGCTTGCGCATTGCCGTAGGAATCCGACTAGAAGCGTCGATTTGTCAACCCCATCAGTGCCCCTGTGGTAGCAGCGTCGACAAGTTTGGACTACACGGACTTTCATGTAAGAAAAGCGTTGGTAGGTTTGCACGACACAGTTCTTTGAACGATGTCATCCGAAGGGCTCTTGTCTCTATAAAT